GGTGAAAATGTTAAGCTGATATAAGCTGATATACATTATTTTCTTGACTCAAGAACATAACTCCTAAATATTTGATATGAGTTCCAGCTGATTAAATAGTCAGAAAGACATTTAGGTTGTAGTCCTAGGCCTAAGTCTGAGGATTTAGAACAGTTTAAAAGATAACCTATGATAGAGAAAAAAAAAGTAATTTTAGTCAACTATTATAATGCATAAAATTACTTTTTTTTAGGTATGTGGTTGAGTCAGATATATGATGGGAGTGAGCACAGGACTTATCTTTTTGTATTTGTGTTCACTTTTTGTATCACACAGCTTTGTTACAATGCTGCCTCCCATCCCATGTGTTCCCTATTAAGGGTTAATAAGTATATAGGGGTGTATATAAAAAATACCACTCTCTGTCTCATTAGAGATATCTTTGCCAGAACCTCAAGGAAGCAAGGTGAAAGGTCAGTGTAAGACCCGCCAAGGGGGTCTGCCTTGACGTTGGCAGGTGGGCTTACCCTCTCATGGCCATTGGAGGTAACTAAAAACCTCCATTTGTTTAAAAATACATAGGGATTAAGGAGAGAGTGCAGGTAACTTGTTTTTCTTTGGTTTTTACTATATATTGGGGCTGATGTGTACTGTGGTCGTTGCTGCCACCCAGTATTGATGGGAGTGAGCGCAGGACTTATCATTATAACAATGCAATATTTTGTGGACCCAGGACATACTTGAAAATTAGAGAAATCTCAATGTATCCATCCTGGTAAAATATTTCATAAATAAATATTATAATAATATTCAGGTATATGGTTTGTGGTAAAATCCTTAGGAATATTATCGAAGAATAGTATTGAACTGCTTCATTATTATATATCATATGTTATTTTGCATTGCCAAATCCCCATATTTTGCACTTTACCTTTTCTGTAATTTGAAGAATTGTATTTAAATTTTAAAAAATGGACAGACACTATAAATTCTTTCTCTGTTTTAAAATGATAGGGTGTTGAAGGGAGATGACATACGCTAGTAACACAGTTCTAATTTGGAAATATTTATTTTTAGAAAACATAAAGATATCCAAATGGAAGTATTCAAGAGTTAACATATTATGCAATAAAATAAGTTGTGTGTTAAGAATCGATAAAAGGAAGCCTTTTTACTGTCAGTAGTAAATAATGGGTATTAAAATAATGTAAAGAGATTGGGGGCAGTGAAATAAAAAAGACCAAGGAACACAACTGTCCCCATGGAGCTGCAATCTGTGTTCAACTACTTTTTCCATTATATTTATTTATATGTACAATGATCACTATACAATTTATATTTATTTTGTGTGCAATTATCATTAATTTGTAATCAAATGCATTTCTATAGTTAACCCCTTAAGGACATAACTTCAGAAATAAAAGGGAATCATGACAGAATATCTCCGTCATGTGTCCTTGAGGGGTTAATATATTATCTCTTTACACAGTCCTAGTGATTGCAATAAAATGGTCATTTCAAGTTAGAAGACTTAGCAATTATGCTTTTTGCTTACCAGCAACTCTGACCACTCTCTGAAGACTGAACTATTGTGAACATCTTTTTACACTATGATAAAACATACTTCTCTATATGTTCGATGTTAAGCCCTGTCCTGGAATGGATACATGCATCTACAGAACTTGATCATCACACATCAGACATCTCAGCAGTTGTAATTACAAGGCATTTACCAGCACACTGTTTCTTTATAACACAGTACAAAAGCTATGGATTTTTCCCCCTAGAAAGGCCACAGTATTTCACAGTTATGTACCTTTTCAGCTTGTATCACAGCTTACACTAATATAAAATACAATATTAGCGAGCTCTACATAACTGTCTATAAAATGACATGCAGAATTAACACAGAATTATACGTATAATTATACTTTATCATTTAGAGAAATGCAACAACAGTTATATATGTTAAGGATTCATACCTTTCTTTTTCTAATTTAAATTGCATGCTGTTTGAGCACCGAGTGACACATGGCAGTAGTAAGTGGAGAAAAACAGAGAATCTCAGGAGGGTGCTTGACGCAGAAAAAATACACTAAATTAGTCAGGCGTACATATGAACACATTAAAAGTGTCAAATTTCAACAGTGTGGTTCCCAGGAAGCTACACAAAATAGTTTATTGTTATAAAAACCATCTGTGTGTATTTTCAGATTTAATTCTAATTAATCTTCTTGGACTGTAATGTTCTTTGTAGTGGATTAAGATGCAATATATTTTTTTTAACCTGTCACTTTTTCAGATGTAAAATTAGTGGTCATTATTACAGCAAGTGATATTTATACACTGTGAACACTATATTTGTATTTATTTTGAACCATTACTGGACAGTAAACTAAAACCACTGTGATTCTTTTAAATGTGTCAATTAATCTCATGCTGTTTATGCTTTTTATTGATTGAAATATGGCGTTGTAAGCATTTCTCGATTTGATTAGTTTTAGTCATTTGCACATTTTGTGCCTCTCAGTCATTTTGAAAAAAAACAAACATGTTTTGCAAATGCTATATTGACATTTTTTTTTCTACTTGTAGTTGTATAGTAAAACATACTAAATTGAATTAAAATTGCAAATGTAACACTAATAGTCCATTTGGACTACACTACATCCTACATCTAGTTAATTTAATTTATAAAAATGTATGGGAAATATAGTGTGTTTTAAAGCAAATGTTATATATATATATATATATATATATATATATATATATATATATATATATATATATATATATATATATATATATATATATATATATATATATTTATTTATATATATATATATATATATATATATATATATATATATATATAAAATCCAGAGAAATGAGAGCACTCACTGGGTTTAGAAAAATGTATATTTAAATACTAGGCAAAGATATACACTAGGCAAAGATATACATTTTTCTAAAACCAGTGAGTGCTCTCATTTCTCTGGATTTTATATTTTGCACTGAGAAGCACCTTGGTCTGAATTTTTCTGAGATTTTGTTGGGGAAGAGTGCCAGAATTTGTAAATATTTGTGTGTATATATATATATATATATATATATATATATATAGTTGGAGTAGAGATCAGTGTTCATTTTTTCGACTAACAATTTTAGTCAAATTTTAGTTGACTAACATTTTTGAGATTTAGTCAACTAAAATAAGACTAAAACTAAAACAATACAGATGACTAACATACGACTAAAACTAAAATGACATTTTAGTCAAAAGACTATGACTATAACTAAATAAAAATGTGCCGCCAAAATTAACAATGCACAAAAGGACTATAGACGGGGCAAAAGAGACAGATCAGGGCTTGGGAGAGATACACCTGGAGGGTCTGGGAGGATGCAATGATACAAAGACACAGAGGGGCCGGGGGAGGGGCAAAAGAGACAGACAGAGGCTTTAACCCATTAGATTTTATTTGTGTTAACTACTGCAGATTTAATCGACTAAAATCTACTGGAGATTTAGTCAACTAAAACTAGACTTAAAGTAATATAATTCCAATGGCTAAAATACAACTAAAGCTAAAATGACCTTTTTGTCAAAAGACTATGACTAAAACTAAATCGAAATTTGCCACCAAAACTAACACTGGTAGCCGTATTAGTCCAGTATCTAATTTCATCTTTTAATTCACAGCTGCATCACTGCACTAATACCGCTACAATCTCTACCCCAACTATATTTATATTTCACTTATATATATTTCACTTTATCACTTTTTACTGATTTATAGAAAATGTTTGCAGATTATAATTTGCTTATAATTGGTAGAAAATGCTCCTATTAGCATGCTGCGAAGTATATACGTATTATTATGTAATTTATACATTTTGGACCCTTTTGGTTAATGATCTGGTTCCTAAACCGTTTTTTCAGTATCAAAATTCTGCTGAGCTAATTTAATATTTTCAGAAATCTAGGTGTCCAGAAAAACTTTCTGTTTTTATGGAAAAAAAGGTTTGACTAATCCAGATTTTTTTGCTGTACACAAATCTAATGTATACATCAACATAAATCACATATCACTATACAATATGTTCAAATACAATGACTAATTCAAATATGCATTGCATACTGTGTGTATTTTGATACAGCATATTTATTTTAATTTGTTATTATTTGGCTAGTCATGCCTGTTGCTGTAGAGGGCAAAGGGACATTCACACGGAAATCATCTGGATACTGGATACAGGCTGACTTGGCATAAAAAAAACCCGCTCATTTTGAAATACTGTTCTAGCTCTTATATCCATCCCACGGCAATATGTTTTTACAACCTTGTTACAACTTAAGAAACTATTTTTTACTTTATTTATCTTCCCTTAAACAAAAGACAATGAAAATAACGTGTGCTAAATTCAATTTCTATGAACTTTCCGGTGATCCTTCACAAATATATACCGTCTTCTCTGGGCAGTGTGAAATTATTGTGAAGGTTTCAAGTTACCAATATTAACCCCTAAAGGACCAAGGCTTCTGTGAGATACAACGCGTTTGCGACTAGGACTTTAGGTGTTTTTGCCATGCATTCATTCAACCACAATTTCCCCCTTTTTTTTAAATGTACCCAGACCTATTATCGTTTTAACTTAATTACCATAAAATAAATCCAATACAGTACAAATACAATTAAATATTAGAGCAGTGTCTAATGAAAATTTTGTTTCAAGTACATTTTTTTACAAGTTTTTTTTTTTTGTCCACCAAGGGTTAGCTTTGCCTCATATTCCTTGTGCGGTGCTGTTATAATCTAATGCTTAATTATAAATATTTTTTAAAGGGTACAAAGGGCTTTCTTATGATACCCTATATGTATATGTAATGCAATAATAAATAGGAAGACAATATTACATTTTTTTACATGTAATAATTGCAACACACCAAGTGCAAATAGAGAAAAGAAACTCAAAATAGATTCACTATTTAGTCGTGATTGTTAAAAAGACCAATATGTCTTTGATGTAAATTCATTTTTAGAAGTTATAAAGCAAATACTGTAAGGAGGGAATTACGATTTTAAAACTAGAACTTTGCAAAATTTGGCATGCTGAGATTACAACTTTATTAGTAGTCAGAGAATACAAAACCGCTACACAACAGTATATATTTGTGGAAAGTACATCCCCAAGGTATTTAAGAACATTTTGACACTTCTTATTTAACTTTAGTTATGTTTTTGTGTTTTATTTTCTAAACATATTTTATTTTGGAGAAATTCAGATTCCATGTATCCCACTACTGCAAACACCACATGTTTGTGTTCTATTTCTGTTCTCGAGTACAAACATACGCCACATGTATATATTTTTCTCTAATCCAACCCTTAATGCAATCTTTAATCCAACTCGTAATCCAACCCATAATCCAAGCACTAAAACAAGCTCTAATCCAAGTCCTAATTGGACACTAAGCCGTTGCTAATCCGACCCTAATTTAATTATGCTCTAACCCAGGATTCCCTAAACTCCGGCCCTCCAGATGTTGCTCAACTACAACTCCCATGATTCTCAGCCTATCTATTTCATTCATAGAATCATGGGAGTTGTAGTTCGGCAACATCTGGAGGGCCAGAGTTTGGGGAAGTCTGCTAACCCATAATACTACTAATATTACTAGTAATATAACCTATAATCTTAGTCCTAATCCAACACCCTGATTACATCTTTCAAATGATACCCTGCTCACAGAGTACAGGGGACTCTGTAAGCCCTCTGTAAAGTGTGATTGCACCATGACATAGAGAACTTATTCCTATGCTGCAGTTGCAGCACACAGAGTTTGGTACTGACAGCTAGCAGAGCCCAGCACTGAGCCTATTGCAGAGTATTTTCAGTGGCTCTCCCTGACACTGACAAATAATTTTTAAATGTAATGTGGTAGCACAATTGCGCTACCATGGCATTTATAAGGCTATAAGCAGCCCTCACTTTGAGCATTGCTCATAGACCTCCTGTGAGTCAAGGGCCACTAACTGTGGCTACAACTGACAGAGGGGACCACCGGGTACTGAATGATGCCCATGAATCCCATTTGTTTAAATCCTGGAGGCTGGGCCAGAGAGAAAAATACTTAAAGGGTTATGAGTAATGCTCACTTTGAACACTGCTCATAGCTCATCTGTCAGTCTGAGGCCACTAACTGTGCACTGCATGAAGACATAGACCATAACTGTGGCACCAGCTGACAGAGAGGACCCGCAGGTATCAAAAGATACTTGGGAGTCCTTGGTAATAGTAAGGACCTGCTGGTACCTCTACTGCATGATGGTCTATGCTATCACTGGACATGAAAGCTCTGCACTGTATGACAGCATCGACCATCGTGTGGTCCTTAAGTGGTTAAATATATATTTTTTTAGGGAGACACAACAACAGCCTTTATTTACAAAACAAAGAAAAGCTGATTTGAAGACCAGCTGGAGCACTTAGAAATGTACTGTGTTGTTAAGGCAACTAATAATGTTCTAAAAATATTTTACATAAAAGGACATCACCTCAAGAACTGCTTCAAGTAGTCATGGAAACTGAAATAAAAAGCAATACATTGACAAGTAGGGTTGAAGACATTAGCTTTTGAGTGATATAGTGTAGTTCCTATACAAAAGTTGTTTAGAAAATATCTTTATGACATTTTATCTTTTTATATCTTTTCCCCAAATATATATATATATATATATATATATATATATAATTTTATTTTGTCAGGTAATAGAGCGAAATAGAGCTTTGGAATTGCACAGTACTAATTGAAGTGTTAAACATCAATCAAAGGAAAAGTGGCAGCTATTGTTAAACTGCTAGATGAAGTTAAAGATGACAATTATTCAACAAGAATATTGTTTTTACTTAATTACAATATTACCATAAAACAAATAAAATACAGTAGAAATACAATTACATATTAGACCAGTGTCTAATGAGAAATTTGTTTCAAGCACATCCATGATAGGTTTCTTTTCTGTCCATTAAGTAATGGTTAGCTTTGCCTCATATTCCTTGTGCAGTGATGTAATAATCAAATGCTTAATTGTTTCAGTGTATCTTTATTACAAATGCCTATTTAAACTATGCTCTTTGGTTCTCTCATGGTTCAATTATTGAGTTATCTTTGCTTATTTGCCATGTGTAATACCATTCTTTTCCAACTTATATGGTCCCAGAGTGTCTGTCTGCCTGGTTACTCTCCTTCATCATTGTGGCTTCTGACCTTAGCTCATAATTCCTTAGGATGCCTTCAGATTAATCTTTCAATCCCCTGTTGTGGCATCTGACCATGGCTATTGTTATCTGACTACACTTATGGATCACCCTTTCAACCTACTACTGACTTCAGCTTTCCAGCCCTGACTATGCTCTTGGATAATTCTTAGTTGCCATAATGGACTTGCTTCTCCGCTTAGCCTTCAGAACAGTTATTGCAGTAACCTCTCACTTATCCAGTCACTTCTTTCTCCTCAAACCAAGGAATCATATTGTTCCAGTTCTATTTTTGGCTCTTCACCAGTAACTACTCTTTCTGAAACAAAAGTCTCTACTCCAGAACTTTGGATATACTCTGTTATACCTGCATATGACCTGCTCTCTACCTTAAACTGGTATAGCGGCAAAATAACTCCATATAACAAAACAGTGTGTTTGTTAATCTGCTCATAATAAATAGTCAGCTACTGTATATACTGAGTTGTTAAACAGGTAATGCTGTGTATATATATATATATATATATATATATATATATATATATACATACATACATGCTGTATGTGTATATTGTAAACAGTGTATTTTTTATCTGAGCTCAGCATTAATACCAGTTTTTTGTATTCTTGATTTAGGTCACAGGCATGCGCACGGGGTATGCCGGGTGGGCCTGGGGACACCCTAATCCCCGCGGCACACGCTATCTGCCTCCCTTCGTGGGCCAGTGAGGGAGATCTCCCTCACAGACCCACCGCACCAAGGAGGGAGGCAGGAGAAGACCCAGGGAGCTCTATCCAGCAGCTCTGCCAGGTTCCTCTCGCGAGGTCAGAACGTTGCCACGGTTACCGTGGCAATGCTAAGATCTCGCGAGAGTGAACTCTAGCCCCCTGCGGGGCTAGAGTTCACTCACCACTGGACCACTAGGGAGTGAACTCTAGCCCCGCAGTAAACATTGTGCATGGATACCAATAATTGTGACATTATAATCGGGACACAACAATGCAATGTGTAGATGAGCTCAAATTCAGTCAATGGAAAGCATTACATCTAGAATTGATTATTTAGCAGACTGTGTAAGAGTGGCATTTAAAGAAATTAGATATTTAATATCAAATCCAGTCACTACAAATTTCCATGTCAAAAATGGTTAATTCCCCATTACATTACATTCCTTTACCAAAGAACTTTAGTAGAGACAGTACCAGTTTGCAACTTTTGCAAGTTATGAGTGTCAACTGTTATTCAGTCTCAAACCTAAAACTTACTGCAATAACTTTGTCCATGTAAAAACATTGATTACCCTGTTTCAAAGATACCTTGCAAAATGGGCTCATCAGCTTTTGGTTTCCCAAGACCCAGTAACTGATGCTTGATTTGTTTATAATAATTATTTGGTATATTTGAAGCTTTAGACAACATGTCCACTGCTTAAAATTCCCCTGCTGCTTAATCAAGAAAAAACCCAGTAGAGAAGTATATAACCTCCTTTAGGTGCTGATCTGATGAAACCTTGTGAAATGAACCTGCGTTAAAATTCTAAATCTTAACCAATGAAATTTGCTTCTTTTCATCACTCCTCTCTGATGAGGAGAAAGAAAGATGGAGATATGTATTATTATTTATATACTGTGCTTCTCTAGACCATTCACTTGCAAAATGTTCCACTCAAAGTGGAACAAACTTAGTAAGACCTCCCCACATTGAAATCTCAAAGTCAAACCATCAACACAACCTTTTTTGATTGAACTCAGACTTCATATTTTTAATTAAATAATATTATTAGACGCTGTTATGGATTCTGGTGCAAGTATATGCCCTATTTATGAACTACTGGCTGTGAAGCTTTTTATTCCTACCCAACCTAAATAAATCATAAATAACATTGTACTATAAGTAATTTGATTTGTGTCAAAGAAAAAAAATATTTATTCAAAAGATGTTTGGGTTTTAACAACATCTACCAATACCTGGTAATCCTTGTGAATTTATTTCTATGGATCCCATCATTGAATTACCACCCTCAGAAGGAAATTCTACTATTCTACTATTTTAGAATAGCAGACTGAAAATAATGTCCCATTTAAAGCCTTGCCATCCAATTCTGATGCTGCTACCACTGCCAAAGATTTGTGTCCAACTACTGTATTTTAGAATTCATGGTATTCCCAAAGAAATCAAGACATTAGAGGTATCAAATTGAACTAAAAATTTTAGTAAGCTCTTTATAATTCCCTCCTAATTGATCATAACATTCTCTCTGTTTTCCATCCACCGTCTAATGGGCACACAGAAAGAATCTTGAAAGTATTTCAAATTCTATTGTTGTTATTTCCAAGATAATTGTAATAGTCTATTACCCTTGACTGAGTTTTCTTATAATAATTTAATTTATTCATGACTCAAAGTAATTTTTTTTCTCAATTTGGAAGTAGCACCCCGAATTTTTTAAAACATACATAACAAAGTACATGGGTCCAGTCCTTTTTCAAACAAACCAGGATAATTTATCCTTATGTAAGAAAAGTTTAAAACATAGCCAAAAACAGTATAGAACTAATTTACATTGAAAACCCAGTTCCAAATATAAAGTGGGAGAAGCTACAAGGAACACACAATTTTCTTGTCCCTCTAAAACAGGTTGTTGTGCCGGTAGTTACCATCACCTGGACCTTCAGACAGACTATTTATGTAGGTTGCAGACTTTTCTTATGTTTTAGTCACCCTGTACCCATTGTAGGTGCAAGATGCGTGTAATGTAACTGTTTAGTGTTAAATGTTAGTGTGCTCTCCTGTATTACTAATGCTTGCAATCAACTAGGTGGATTGGGCTGTGGAGCCTGTACAGTGCCACTTGTTGGTTGCAAGGATCTAGCAACCGCTGTATGCACTACCTGTATAGCAAGGATTGTTAATTTGCATATTCAGACAGATTTCCATATTCTGCAAGCAGGAGAGATGTTTTGGGTTAATTATTGTCTTTCCCACCCCTTTATAAATATGTCATTATGTTATTATAAATTTCTCTATGTTGTCTAATGTGATTTGAGTGTTTGTATTTTTATTGAGTTGTCATAGTAAGCTTAATGTAATCATCATATGGGCTAGTCCCAAGAAAAATAAAGTTTTGTATGTCAGTTCCTTTTGAAACTTGTGTTCTGTGTGGATTTGTAGGGATCCCAGTGACAGAGTCTTCGGACCTGTTTATTGGTTGCAGGATCACTCTAGCCCTGAGATAAAGCAAGAGAGCTAGGTCTAAAAGCCACAAGTGTCTTTTTAAAAACAAGTTCTATAACATTGCAGGCGGATGTGGATACCTGCCTAAAAAGAAGGGTTGCAGTGTATGAGGCAGAGGGCATGATACCTTCCTGAAGGAGTGCTGCATCCTGATCAGGTGGAAAAGCTGCACAATGGACCTAGTCAAGCTTTGGCGACTGTGGCTGAAGCATTCCACGGTCCCTGCAAGCAGCAAGGAATCAGACTGGGCAGAGGTACTCGAACGGAGTACAGGAGCTCCATCACAGTTGTCTTCCCCAAAATATCTTTACCTCATAATCATTGTGCAGTGATGTCACAATATAATGCTTAATTGTTTCTTAGTTGTTTAATTGCCTAATTGTTTTGAGTTATCTTACTCATGCTTGTGTATTTAAACATGGCTTGATTACCATGGGGTGCTTTGCCATGTGTAACAATGTTTAACACCATTCCTTTGCAAAGTAACCTATTCTGTTACTCTCCTTCACTATTGTGGATTCTGACATTGGCTCTTGCTTCCTGAATGTGCATAAAGGTTAACCCTTAATCCTAGTCTTCCATTGTGACTTTGTATTGTATTCCTAAAGCTATAGTAGGTCTCTGTCCCTATTCCTCTAGGTACCCTACAGTGGGCTTGAAGTGGTTAAAAAATATTTTAAGACTCTCCTTACTTCCCCTTAATCAACACAAAGATCCCACAGCACTGGGTTGCTCTCCTCCTCTAGCGATGTCACACTGACAGAGGATCCTAATGTGCAGGCATGCATGGCAAATGCCTTGCTAGTATTAGACCTTCTTCATATGAATGCATCGAATCAGTGCATTCCTATGGGGATTTTGAAGATGCTGAATGTCCTCATGCAAAAGTGTGAGGATGTCCAATCTCATTTCATGGAGTTAAACTCCATGAAAAGCCATGACCTATAGTGGCTCTCTGGAAGACAGTCACAAGAGGTTGTCTGAATTAACAATGTAAACATTGCAGTTTCTCTGAAACTTTAATGTTTACAACTACAAGGTCAAGAGGACAGAGGCACCATGAAAGGACTATTGTATTTCACTTCAATAAATGAACAATTGTGTTCATCCATCATTGCAAAATAATACCAGGAATTGTGATACATTTCCCCTGCTATAGGCAACAGTCACCTTCTTCGAATTCCAGTGAAATAACTTTTGTTTGTAACACATTCCTGAATAGCTAGTTTACCAATGTGTATCATAGGTATCCTTCAGAAACACTGGCCTGTGCTAAAATTAGATGCTTGGTTAAAATTCAGTATTTCTAGTAACCCTAGAGTGACTTTTTGTCAGGAAACTGACAGGGATCCAATACGCAGAGTGCGCACAGAAGGAGGTACGTATACCGGACCTTAGAATGGCCGGACTAACGTAAGGACAAGCAAGAATAGTCAAAAGGTAAGCCGAGGTCAAGAGAGCCGGAGGACAGGTAAGCGAGATACAAGCCGAGTCAAAGGAGAGGAGAGGACAACAGGACAAAAGACAAGCAAGGGTCAAAACCGGAAACACAAGATAAAGAACGCGCTGAGTGACTAGCAAGCTAGAACCACGACAGGGCAATGAGCAGTAGTAAAGGTTTCCTTTAAATACCCTGTACCTAAATAGAGACCACGCCCCCAAAAGGTCCGGAATAGCGGTTCCCGGCACTTTATGCAAATGCCGACGTCATGACGTCGACGCTAGCCGTCGCGTCATAAAAGGGGGAGGAGCTAGCGCGGCCGGCGCGAAAACGGCCGGAATATGCCGAAATGCTAGGGGAAGGGAGCCCCTAAGCAGAGAGGATGTCCTCCCTGGATACATCACCAACAGGTACCCTGACAGTACCCCCCCTTCTAGAAACGCCCACCGGGCGGATGGGACCTGGCTTAGAAGGAAAACGAACGTGGAAGGCCCGAAGAAGACGAGGAGCATGCACGTCTATACCAGGAACCCAAGACCTCTCTTCAGGACCATAACCTTTCCAGTCTATGAGGTATTGCAGCTTCCCCCTAGAAATACGAGAATCAAGGATGTACTTGATGATATATTCCTCCTGACCATCCACACGGACCGAGGATGGAGGAGCAGAGCGGGAGGAAAATCTGTTACAAACAAGAGGTTTCAATAACGACACATGAAAAGAGTTAGGGATGCGTAGAGTAGGAGGTAGATCCAGCAAATAAGAAACCGGGTTGATCCTCCTCAGTACCCTGTAAGGACCAATGTAACGAGGAGCAAACTTCAAGGAAGGAACTTTCAGGCGAATGTGTCTGGTACACAACCAGACCCTATCCCCCGGAGAAAAAATAGGAGCAGGACGTCTACGCCTATCAGCATGTGACTTAAACACCGCGGAACTACGTTCAAGAATTTGTCGAGTCTGATCCCACAACTTTCTCAGGTTGGCTATATGAATATCAACCGACGGTATACCCTGGGAAGGAGACACCGACGGAAGAACAGTAGGGTTAAAGCCATAGTTCAAGAAAAAGGGGCTATTACGAGTGGAACCACAAACAAGGTTGTTGTGAGCAAACTCCGCCCAAGGAATCAGACCGACCCAGTCATCCTGGTGTTCAGAAACAAAACAACGTAGATATTGCTCAATTTTTTGGTTAGTGCGTTCGGCTGCTCCGTTAGATTGGGGATGATAGGCCGAAGAAAAATTCAGTTTGATGCCCAACTGTGAACAGAAGGATCTCCAAAAACGGGAAATAAATTGGGAACCCCTGTCTGACACAATCTCATTGGGAATACCATGTAAACGGAAAATTTCTCTAGCAAATATCACGGCCAGTTCGGGAGAGGACGGAAGTTTAGGCAAGGGAACGAAATGAGCCATTTTAGTAAACCTGTCAAGGACCGTGAGGATAACTGTATGCCTATCTTAGCCCTGTCAGTGGGGTAAGCCCGGGGTTGTAGTTCGAAATGTATACTTATCTGGTTTAAAAAACCACGACAAGCATCAGGCGAACCCCCATATCGTAATGGTGACGTGACATGGGAAGATGCGCCTACAGTGGCTACTTCCAAACCAGTACTTAGCGAGTGGCTAGCAGTGGAACGTATTTCTTCAGACTGGGTACTGGAGCGTGTCAACAAAGTTTGTAGCGCTAAAGCCATTTGGTCCATTCTATGGTCCATGGCCTCAAATCTGGGGTCAGGAGGACTAGCACCTGCAGGATCCATCTGGCCCTGTCGTAATGTCAGGAAACTGACAGGGATCCAATACGCAGAGTGCGCACAGAAGGAGGTACGTATACCGGACCTTAGAATGGCCGGACTAACGTAAGGACAAGCAAGAATAGTCAAAAGGTAAGCCGAGGTCAAGGGAGCCGGAGGACAGGTAAGCGAGATACAAGCCGAGTCAAAGGAGAGGAGAGGACAACAGGACAAAAGACAAGCAAGGGTCAAAACCGGAAACACAAGATAAAGAACGCGCTGAGTGACTAGCAAGCTAGAACCACGACAGGGCAATGAAAGGGCAATAAAGGTTTCCTTTAAATACCCTGTACCTAAATAGAGACCACGCCCCCAAAAGGTCCGGAATAGCGGTTCCCGGCACTTTATGCAAATGCCGACGTCATGACGTCGACGCTAGCCGTCGCGTCATAAAAGGGGGAGGAGCTAGCGCGGCCGGCGCGAAAACGGCCGGAATATGCCGAAATGCTAAGGGAAGGGAGCCCCTAAGCAGAGAGGATGTCCTCCCTGGATACATCACCAACAGGTACCCTGACACTTTTAGGAGAATTACAAATATTAAAAATATCCTGGCACCATCCAAATATATGTCACACATCTGAATCCTAACCACAATGTAGGTAATTTTAGATGTAGGGGTACTAGATGCCTAACCTGTAAAGATCTTTGTCACAGAGCATCCTGCTTTGGATCCAAGTTGGATAAGGAGGAATTTATGGTACAACCAAGGATAAATTGTAATTGTTCTTTCTTAGTCTATTTACTTACCTGTACTTGCAGTCTTCATTATGTAGGACAAACCACGGGACCCCTAAAGGTTAGGTTTAGGGAACACAGGTTGGCTATATTACACAAAGACAATAAATCCCCTATAGCACGCCACTTGCAATTAGCCCATAAAAGTGATCCGTCCCATATATCGATTATGGGTATGGAAGTGATGCGTAAGATTTCTGATGTAGCTAAGCGAAAAAAAACACCTTAATATTGCTGAAACCAAATGTATATTTAAATTAAACACACTTAAACCATATGGTTTAAATGAGGAGATAGATTAAATCATTTAATTATGAACAATATTTGACTATCTCACACTGAGTTGGCTGAATAACTCCCTGATGGGACATTTTCCATATTACAACGAATTGGAGAAGTAATTTAGCCTTACTTAAACTACCATTAGCAAGTTTATATACATAATTCTAATATATATACATATCAAAGGTGTCGTCCAGTATTAGTTCCCTTAAATTTGAAAGTTTTAGGTCGGTCTCCCACATCTTAGATTACATATATCTTATATTTGGAATAAAAATATATTTATAATTTTTAAGATTTTAATATTACATATTTTAATGACTGCTATACTTTCATACACTATCTTTTTCTTTAGTATTATATATTCCACAGTTGGTTACTGATT